TGTCCCTTCCCACCTCTCGCCCCCTTGGCAACCACAAATTTGTATTCTATGTCTATGAGTCTGTTTCTGTTTTGTATTTATGTTCACTTTACTTTTTTAGATTCCACATATGAGCAATCTCATATGGTATTTTTCTTTCTCTTTCTGGCTTACTTCACTTAGAATGACATTCTCCGGGAACATCCATGTTGCTGCAAATGGTGTTATGTTGTTGGTTTTTATGACTGAATAGTATTCCGTTGTATAAATATACCACAGCTTCTTTATCCAGTCATCTGTTGATGGACATTTAGGCTGTTTCCATGTCTTGGCTATTGTAAATAGTGCTGCTGTGAATATTGGGGTGCAGGTGTCATTCTGAAGTAGGGTTCCTTGTGGATAGATGCCCAGGAGCAGGATTCCTGGGTCACATGGTAAGCCTATTCCTAGTCTTTTGAGGAATCTCCATACTGTTTTCTCTTTTCAGAATATTCCCTTGTAATAGTGTGCTATTTTTGTTTTATGGAGGCAGCATCTTATCACTGTAAGGATATTCGTAATAGTTTTTCAATTTAATTTTTAAATAATAATACAGACACATGGCTCAAAAATGAAAGTTAAAATATATATATAAAATTTAAAATATAAAAGCTGTATAGTCTAAATTCGCTTACCCGTCTTTCCCCTGTCTGTTCACTTCTCTTTAATACACATAACCAAATTAGTTTTCCTTGCATGAGTTTCTTTATGCAAATAAAAGCCACTGAGACCACATTCTTATTCTTCTCCTTTTAATTTCACAAAAGGTGGCCCACTTTCAAGTTTGGTGAAATAGACTATGAATTATAAACAATGTTGCCATGAACGTTTTTGTTCATGTCTTGTAATGTACAGGTGTACACCCCTCTCTTGACCTGATACATAAGGGTAGGGTTAATGGGTCATAGATTAAGTCTGTCTTTTTTATGGTAGTATTCTTATTTTTAACGAGGGTACTGAGTATTGAACCCAGGAACTCATGCATGCTAACTATGCACTCTACCACTGAGCTATGCCCTCCCTGCTAAGCCTCTCTTTTAAAAAATGTTTCATGGTTAAATATAACATATATACAGAAAAGTGTGCAAAACAGACACATACAGCTCAGTGACTTTTCACTGTGTAGGTCTAGAAAGTGTCCATAGTCAGCATTCCAGAATCCCCCTACTCCCCAATATAACTTCTCTCCTGACTTTTATGATAATTACTTTCATTGAGAAGGAAGTCACAAGCAACAGAGTGGGAGAAGAGATAGACAACAGAGGACTTACACCCAGGATGGGTAAAGAACAACAAAACAATAAGAAAAAGCAGATGACCCGGTAGTCATGGGCCTTATTTGAATAGGTGTGTAACAAAAGAAGATATCTGAATGGCTAAGAAAAGTCTGAGATGGTACTCAGTCTCTTTAGTCGTTAGGGAAATGCAAAAGTTAGCCCACAATGTAACACCACTACACTCCCACCAGAATGGCTAAAATTAAGAAGACTGACAATGACAAGTGTTAGCGAGGATGAGGAGCCATATCAGCAGCTCATATGCTCATTTCAGCACATGTAACCAATCAGCACATGCAGCTGCTGATACATTAGCTCATATCAGCAGTTCATATGCTGCTGGTGGGAGTGTAGATTGGCACAGTCTCTTTGGAAAACATTTTAGCCTTCTTCATCAAAGCATCCGGAGCTCATATGAAGAAATAATTCTCCTAGGAAAATACCCAAGAGACATCCTCGGCTAATGTACCAGGACACATGTATAAATGCTGTAGCATTACTTGTAACAGCCAGAAACTAGAAATAACTTAAATCCCCATCAATAGTAGAATGAACATAAATTGAACA